AGAATGTCTCCGCACACCCAAACCCGGTGAGCCTGGGCACCTATTTGGAGAAAGATAAAAACCAAATTCCTTCCGAGTATGGCGTACCTTTTATGGGCTTAAGAACCAAAGGTTTCTAACATAATTACATAAGCGAAGCAAATTCAATTCTATATAGCATATTATTGCAATGACGACCTTCGTCATTGCCTTGTTTTCGCTCACATTCTGCCCCATTAATATTCTCCTTTTCCTTATCCTTATCGTCAGGAAATCGCATTCGTATTGCACGTAGTGTTTGTGATTCCTAGTTAGGTGCTTTCCTCATATCTTTTTCTTTTCATATTTCATAGGCACAGTCTCTAACATCTCATCAAGGTCACTACTTTCTTCGATTTTGGAAATCACTCATGCATGACCGTCCAGGCGCCATTTTGTCCGTTTCTGGTCCATTTAAGGCCTTTATATCTTCCTTCCCATCCCCACTATCCTAGATCCTACAAACTTTTAACAAATTCCTCTAGATAGTCTGAGAGATGTCCTTTCATCTGCGACGTATGACTTGACCTTCACAATGCCATCTTCATACTCGAATTTCAAATCTAAAACCGACTCCTCCAATAAATCTCAAGTTCTTGAAAAATGGACCCCTAAATAATCTAAAACTGCCATAACTGTCTCATATAAATTCCGTTTTGTTTTTAAATCTCACAGTATCTTTATCTCATAATTGCACATAGCCGTGCCAAATTTCACGCTCCAATGGCTTTGCACAACATAAATAGCGCCCTCTAAAGTTTTAGGAATTGGCTTTCCCTCTGTGGCCGTATCTTCATAATGGCTTGGCAAACCCGTACCCTTTTTTGGATTTAGATACTTGAAGATATGTCCTTTCCAGCCATATACAAAATTATATACCCTAACACTGACCAAATTTGAGAAAAAATGCCTTCCAAATTCGCCATTTTCGAGAAAATTCCGAAATAACTTCAACTTACTCTAAAATAACGATCTTTATACCTACATCAATGAAACTTGGCAGACACATGTATCCATATACGTGACAACTGTCTGCCAAGTTTGGTAAAATTCGAATACGTCAGCGCAAAGTTATCGCCAAAAATGATGAATTTACTATGCGTTACGTAATAGCGCCTTTAATGCGTGCAGTACATTGCGCGCAGACGACAACGGTGTCAAACTGACCGCAATGAAGTGCCCTTTCGAATGATACCAAGTATGGTATATGTTCACACAGAAAATTTTGAGTAAATCACATTTGAACAAGGGTCATTATACGAATTCCGCCGAGTTTCCGCCCAATAATATAACACGTATCGGCTATGGCGTCATTTTTTCAGACTGCTTTTCACCCCCTAAACGTCCCTTTTTTTCCTTGAAATTTCGCAGTGACATTCCGAGTTGCAATACGCAGGGCACCTCTTGGCCGGATTTTTAAAATTGGTCAAGGGGGTCATTTAAGACGCAATTTTGTCCTATAAATCTATTTTACATCACGTGTTTCGATAGGATTACCATAGAACAAAAAAAAAGTTGTTTACAATAACAACCATGAAATTCTCTTTCCCATGATACCAAATACGTCAGATAAAGTGACATAAAGAGAGAGAAAAAACAAACAATTAAAGTCCGGTCATAATACAGATCCTGTACGTTTTCCGCCCACGCATTACACGCATTGTCTATGGGGCAAATCGGGTTCACGCTTCTGGACCCCAGAACGATCTTTATTTTTCTTGAAATTTTACAGGCACATTCTAAGTGGCCAAGTGCAGAGCATCAAGAAGCCGGACTTTTTTTTAATTTTTTTTTTATTTTTTATTTTTTTTTAATCGGTCAAGCATGACATTAAATGCTACTTCATACTCTGCGTAACTAGTCCGAGAGATGCTCTTTCGTTTGACATGTAAAAACATGGCGTCATTGCACGCACATCGTTCTGACACGATTGCATTTCTAGTATCTTACTGAACTTGTTTAACATACTAAATATTGTACAACATCACTTGTCGAAACACGACTAACCCCAAATAAGTGCGTGGTTATACGAAAATGAATAACATCCCACTGAGCTGGTTAAAATTATTGAAAACAAAGTAAGCAATCGTACTAACTCTCCATAATTATATCCGCACCTTATATGTAGGCCCCTATCTCCTTTGCCTACAATCAACCCGACCTTGTCCAACCTATTAACGGACATAAAGTTTATATGTCTCACTGCGCCATCTCCCCCATCTCCTTAGGGAATGATATGTTTGCGGAATTAGAAGATGAGACTAGCCTGTGGCTAGGTAACTCACCGGGTGGAGGATGGACAATAGACGGTTGATTCGCCGTTTCCAGGGATTCTGTGATGTTGGCCCCCCCCCCCCCCCCCCCCCCCCCGTCGGAGTCTGGTCTCCTTGGCGCTCCCGCCCTGCCGAAGCGGCTGGGTTACTCCTCGAGCCGCGTCTCGTCACTCGAGAATGTGGAGCTGGCGTTGTCCCCCTGATCGGGTCACTGTTTTGAAGCGCTGGCTCTCTCCGCTTTCCTTTGCCCTTTCGTCCCGTAGACGCCTTAGACTTCCCCATCTTGTCGTCCACACAATACAGACGAGCTAGTTAGAAGACTATGCCGCAATCCGAGCTCCGATGTAACTTCCTCCAATATTTAATTCCAGCTATCCAATACGATTACTCCTCTGTTCAATTCCAAATATCTAGTGTAACATTTTCTCTTTTTAGATCCAATTATCCAGTGTAACTCTTCCTCTGTTTAATTCCAGATATCCAGTGTAACTTTTCCACCGTTTAATCCTTATATCCCGTGTAGCTGTCTCTCTGTTCAATTCCAAATATCCAGCGTATTGGTGTGAAACCCAGTGATAATAGAAACTAACCGGTGCAGTCAGTTCAACAGCGACAACCTGTGTACAATTAGCATGTATAATTCTGAGTCCAATAAAACACGACCAACTCAAACGGAGTATTAGCTGAGAATGACCCATTGATTAGTAAAAATACACGTCGTGGGAAACACTTGCCTTGCGACCCCGATATGTATTACAAAAGCGCGCCTATCATTGATATTTACAAAACACGCGTGGTAAAGATTCGGCTTTGTGACCTCAATGTAGGTTACAAAGAGATGCGCCTATGTTTGATATTTGCCGACCTGCTGGGAAACATTCGGTTATTGACCTCAATATCATTTTACAAAAGAGGCGCGCTATCGTGTGTAGTCACCGGCTTGCCGCATATTTCCGGCCTACACTATTGCATTCTATTACAATTGGGTTTATTTTGATAACATCAAAATAAACGTATTCTGGTGTTCAATGTTGCAAACAGGTTTTGATCCTGTCAAGTTCATTCCGAGCTGCATCACGGAACTGCCTATTGGTCAAGACGAAGATGATTCCCTTCCACCAGGTACTGAACGCTATGGTCAAATCCACTGCAACGTTCGGCCAAAATGGTCTGTCATTGTCATTGCTTGTCATGACAACGATAAGACGGGGGGTTGTCGCCACGTAACTACCCACGATAACGACAAGAACCGTCCTGATGCATTTGAGGAGCCGATAGTTTATCTGGTCATTTGCAGGGGCTTGAGGGGGAGAGGGCGCTTCATCTTCAGGCGTCTGTTGATCATTTCGTGTTGCAATTGCTGCTGGAATTACCGCTGGGTGTAGCCCTAGTCAAAATGGGCTCTGGAAAAATATATTTTTTTCCTATTTTTCACTATTTATTTCCTATTTTTATGTGAATGTACCCTATTTAAACACTATTTTTTATTAAAAATAGATTAAAAATAGCATATGACAGCCTATTTTTTTTCTATTTCTAGGAATTGGTGGTTTGATAACTATTTTTTACCTATTTCTTCCTATTTTTTTACTATGTTTTTGGACTTGGATTTTTTTCTGCCATTTTCTTCCTATTTTTTACCTATTTCTTACTATTTTTTCCCTATTCTTTTCGACTTAGTTTTTTTGTCACCAGATTTTGTCCTATTTTTTCACTATGTTTCTGGACTTTGATTTTTTCACCCATTTTCTTCCTATTTTTTTACTATGTTTTGGGACTTAGATTTTTTCTGCCATTTTCTTCCTATTTTTTAACCTATTTCTTACTATTTTTTCCCTATTCTTTTCGACTTAGATTTTTTGTCACCAGATTTCGTCCTATATTTTCACTTTGTTTCTGGACTTTGCCCTTTTTCACCCATTTTCTTCCTATTTGGCTATGTTTTGTACTTAGATTTTTCTCTGCCATTTTCTTCCTATTTTTTTACTATGTTTTTGGACTTAAATTTTTCTCTGCCATTTTCTTCCTATTTTTTTACTATGTTTCTGGACTTTGATTTTTCTTACTCATTTTCTTTCTATTTTTTTACTATGTTTCTGGACTTTGATTTTTCTCTGCCATTTTCTTCCTATTTTTTTACTATGTTTTTGGACTTATATTTTCTCTGCCATTTTCTTCCTATTTTTTTACTGCTATGTTTTTGGACTTGGATTTTTCTCTGCCATTTTCTTCCTATTTTTTTACTATGTTTTTGGACTTAGATTTTCTTACTCATTTTCTTCCTATTTTTTTACTATGTTTCTGGACTTTGATTTTCTCACTCATTTTCTTCCTATTTTTTTACTATGTTTTTGGACTTAGATTTTCTCTGCCATTTTCTTCCTATTTTTTTACTATGTTTTTGGACTTGGATTTTTCTCTGCCATTTTCTTCCTATTTTTTTACTATGTTTTTGGACTTAGATTTTCTTACTCATTTTCTTCCTATTTTTTTACTATGTTTTTGGACTTAGATTTTCTTACTCATTTTCTTCCTATTTTTTTTTTACTATGTTTCTGGACTTAGATTTTCTTACTCATTTTCTTCTTATTTTTTTACTATGTTTTTGGACTTATATTTTTCTCTGCCATTTTCTTCCTATTTTTTTACTATGTTTTTGGACTTAGATTTTTCTCTGCCATTTTCTTCCTATTTTTTTACTATGTTTTTGGACTTCAATTTTCTCACCCATTTTCTTCCTATTTTTTTAGGGTTAGGGACTTAATTTTTTTATCACCATTTTTTCCCTATATTTTGTTTACTATGTTCACAGACTTAATGGATTTTGTCACCTTTTTGCTTTTAATATAGGCCGATATTTGATTTTTAAGGTTGTTGAAACTTTTTTACACTTTATAAATATATATTTGCACAATTCAAAACATATTTCACAATATAACTATAATGTTAACAAAAATTGCGATATTTCGTCTTTTAAAATGAAAAAAATAAATAAATTCAAAGAAGATTTGGACAAATTACTGGCCCTCCTTAGAACTCAACTCTTCCTTTAAGGGAGCATAATTATTTCGTAGGCCTGTGAACATTTTAAGGGAGCATAAATATATCGTATAGGCCTGTGAACATTTAATCAAGAATTAAGAATGTTTTAATTTTATCTTTAAATGAAATGACTATCGATTTTGAATATTTCAAGTAAAAAAAGTATGTAATTAGCAAAAGAATTAGCTTACTACTATAGTGTTATAGTGACTAGAACTTATCCAATTGGATGTAATTGTAACAATTTTCCCCATAATAAATACAAAGGTGAAAGGGTACTCTTCAAAAATGTTGAATCATAATGAAACACAACTAAATGTGTGCTGCCATCTAGTGGTAGAAAGCGAATAGGCCAACCGGTAGTTTATTTTCAAATTCAAATCTTCACTCAGACTCTGTGATGATCAGCTCAACGGCGCATATTTCAATCATTACTTTGCCATTTCGCCAGACTTGTCTTCCTGTAAAACCCACAGTATGGGTAATAAGGGGTAGATTTACACCAGGAAAGGACAATTCCAAGAGTAATTCCAGGGCAAGAATTGAAAGAACAAAATGAAAGGATCGAATTTATTACCAAGATTAGGCCTACAGTCCCACACTAGCACTCTTGTGTTGGAGAAATACGATCAACTTGCTTTGCACTAGTCTACATGCACTGGACTGCTACTGCAGTACTGCTAGCTGCTGGAGCTACTTTAAAGATCTTCATTTTGAAGGTGAGTAATAAAATTACACACAATTCAATACGAAATTGAGTTTGCTTTCTGTACAATTAAATTAGGAAATTGGTTAAGTAAATCTTGATTTTGTAAATTTATTTGGTTCATGAAAAAATCCAAACCATCATCAAACTGATCACAGTTGACGAAGATCGTAGATTATATTCCCTAGTAGTATGTCTACATAATTTACATAGTCACCTATATATCTGTGTTTACGTAAGGCTTTTCATTGGAAGTGAACAATCAAACATGACGAATCTCATTAAAGAATGGAATTAGCGTATTATAGTAGGTCTACTCATTCACAAATATATTTGAGCAAATTAACGCAGTGCAGTGTAGGCTAGATTCCGCCACATGCGCGTGCTGGCTGCATGGTAGTTGGTAAGACATGTGAACGCATGTGGATATATAGCATCTCCATTGAACACATGGCACAGGATCTGCACTCGTTTTGAATGAATTGCAATTCTTTACACTTTTTACAGCCAGGTAGAAATTTCATAAGCCAATAAATCATCCTAAATCATACGTGCAAGATTTTCTTGCATATTTTTAACAGAAATTGAATGGCAAAGTTGATTCTTAGAAGCCGTACATTTGTATGTCACATACACTGTATATATTATGTGTGTTATGATTTTTTTTCCATCACAATCCCGCATTCAATTGGCTGTGCAGATCCTGCATGCACATGTAGGTGTATTGTATCATGCATGACCATATAGTTGCAAAGTATAGCTCATCATTCAATCATCATAATTCATACATGTAAGTAGTCAAGCATCTATCATGTCATGAATTTGTGAAGGATGCAAGTAACTGTAGTTCTTACATGAATTTCATTTGTACAGTGTACATTCCACGTTCAACTCTTAAATTTTCCTAGATTTGATTTGAAAGCATAATAGAATACTACAACCTGCTTATTTTTTTTTTACTTATTATTTTTTCTTCTTCAGGGTATATTTTAGCTTCGGCTGCTGGAAAGTCATCAACTTGGACTGTGTGGCACTGGCACCCTTGTCTTCTAGAGTACATGTACATACAGTCTTAATTTGTTAGACTGAACTGTCCAACACACATCTAGGAAATGCAAGACATGGGTGAAAGTATTAGAATCATACATGGTTAATGACTTATTGTTCATCTGTAATTAATGGAAAGCATTTCAAAATGATGCCAATAATGCCGTCCAACAAACATTCAGCAAGTACTTCCAGGTTGCCTCGCCCTGCCACAATCAAACATGTGTTCGCGGTCGGAATGAATCTGAGACATAAATCTTCAATACACAGCTTAATTTTTACCAAGGCAATCTTAACAAACACAAATTGAATTACCTATATACATGTATTGATGTATATATATATATATATATATATATTCTATATCTGCGTATGAATATTTTTGTATAACTTTGTTTCACTATACTCTTTGCCATGTCAGCTCACGTGTACTATGTAGTTGATGCCAGTATTATGTAACACTTTATAGATGTGTATTCATGTAACAGTAATAAAGCTTTGTCTTAGTATTCATTTAAAGTTTTAAAGACATCTGAAGACTATTCATGTTTGACATCCTTATGACACTTGACAGATAGACCAAGTTGCCAGTGCTATTAACACTTTTTACATTGTTATAGATGTGAACTATACCTTTGCCTTCACATGTTTTCATTTATAGACATTTTTAAAGATTTTGTTTAGACTGTTGAAACTTGCCAGATAGCCTTGCTACTGGTATCATGTAACACTTTATAGTCATGTATAAGCTGTTCAATACTGGTTCACATCCTGTATATATGCTAGTATTTTATTAGCCAAAAATGTGAAAATTCATTTTTTTTTTTTTAATTCTAATATCTTACATTCAGATTAGATTTACATTATAATAGTTTCGTTTACACAACTAATACATATATATATATATATATATATGTGAACCCAATATCTGCAATTTTTACCAGTGATTATATAGGGAACAATTTAATGAAGAAGAAAAAGATATATTTTTTTTCTTTCTTGCGTTTATGTTTACAAAGACCTAGTACTACCTTTGCGTAATATTTGTATCATTTATAAGACGGGTATATGCCAATCGGTTTGCCAAAGATACATAATATTTACCGGCCGTTCTTACCTCTAAATCCAAAATTTTCTATATGAAATTTTGTAAGTGTGACTTTTGTAAATATGTTTTAATAGTTTGTGGACTGTTTGTTTAGTATTCTCATTCACCATATGGGTGTACATTGCATGTGATATTTTATGTAATAAAGTGTTCTAACGTTTCAAACTGAAATAAAAATGTGTTTGCATTTTATTTATCTTGTACATCTGGCAGCAGAAAAAAAGGATAGAAATATTTTAGTGTATTTATTTTCCCCCTATTTTATTCCTATTTTAGTTTTTACTCGGGTAATATGTGGACGGGGATTCGACTAATCCAATTATTTTGTACATGTGCGCATGACATGCACCTACATGCATATATTGTACAACAAGGTGCTACAAAGTAGAACTTGACAGAGATTTAATTGCTACCAAACAATTATACAGTACACCAATCATTCAATTAATATTCCATTTTTTTTTAAATAGATTTTAAATATATTTGGTTTGTAAAAAAAAATATGTTAGAAATATATTTCAGAAAAAAATATGTCTGAAATATATTTATAAACTATTTTTATTTCAACGCTATTTAAGTCTCCTATTTTTTTCCTATTTTTGTTCCAAAACTATGCTGTTTGAAATAGCTTTTTTGGGTATTTTTAGGGGACGAGAAAAATAGGGAAAAAATATATTTCAAAACTATTTGTGGCTTTATTTTTTTCCTATTTTTTGTTCCAAAACTATAGCAATTAAATAGCTTTTTTGGGGGATGAGAAAAATAGGAAAAAAATATATTTCAAAACTATTTGTGGCTTTATTTTTTTCCTATTTTTAGGGGACGAGAAAAATAGGAAAAAAATATATTTCAAAACTATTTGTGGCTTTATTTTTTTCCTATTTTTTGTTCCAAAACTATAGCAATTAAATAGCTTTTTTGGGGATGAGAAAAATAGGAAAAAAATATATTTTTGCATTTATTTTTTCCCTATTTTTTTTCTATTTTTTTCCTATTTATTTTTTACTAGGGAGCTTCCGTTCTGCCTTCAACTTTCTCAGAGCAATGATAAGCAAAAAGATATTTGCCATCACCACCATATCCACAACACCTATTTCCACTATTAAATAGTATATAGAATCGGTTGGCTTCAGTTCATTACCCACGAAACAGTAATCAAGTCTACCGATTGGATTCATGCGATTCAAGGCTGCAACCTGTACAGCGAAATAAATAAGCCTCAACATGGTCGTAACTAGTAAAGCTAGCATGACGACTTTTACGGTTACGTATCGTATATAGAGGAAGGGTTTCCAGACCTTTAACAGACGATCAAAACTCCAGAGGGACATGTAGAGGTTGGAGAGTACTAATGTTGTGCCCAGCAGTATTGTACCATAGGTGCAGGCTGATCGCACCTTTACACCCGAAAAGATTCGCAAAATTGATATGACGGTTAGAATAATGATTGCGAATGTATCTGAGAGCAAGAGTGCGCGACAAAGTAGTTTGGAATGCTCTTCAAAACCACAGTTGTCTCGGAGTAACACGACAAAGGTGAAAGAATTACACAAGATAGCACAAATCAGTTGAGGCGAAATAAAGTATACCCCGTATTCCGACCAAAATATCTCAAGGAAACCATGTACTTCGCTTGAATTCGACATGATCCCTATGGTTGATGTGGGTGCGTTTGTGATTCTGCTCTGATTGACGTTGATAACGAGAACTGAACCCACGGCAGCTGCATGAGATGATGTTCATGGAGAGTTAAGTTTGAGTATGTGCTTAGCGCGAACCAATCATATCTACCTTGTTGTAATTAACTTGAGCTGATCGCGATTCTATTAATGTATATAAGTTCCAATCAAGTTGAAACATTAATTTTATGACTGGAAATATATATGTCCCGCTTTAATCTACTTGTCAAAATAAAGTGGGAATTGATACCCTCAATAAAAGCATGACTGTCAGCTCAATCTCGAGTATCAGATGACGTAATGGTAATATTACTTTGGTGGCTCTATTTTCCCATATCTATTACGTGAAGTTTGGTAAATGCATTAAAATCTAAGCCCACAAAACAGAAGTAATAAAAAGTATGATGATGACAATGATGATGATGATGATGATGATGATGAAAAGATGATGATAATGTTGATAATGACGATGATAATGATGATATCGATATTGATGATGTTGATGATGATGATAATGGTGTTGATGCTGATAATCATGATGGTGATGATAATGATGAGAATGATGATGATGATGGTGATGGTGATGATAACGATGATGATGAGGATAATGATGATGATGATGATAATGATGATGATAATGATGATGGTGATGATGGTGATGATGTTGTTGATACTGATGATGCTGATAATCATGATGGTGATGATAATGATGAGAATGTTGATGTTGATTTTGACGATGATAACGATGATGATGAGGATAATGATGATGATGATGATAATGATGATGGTGATGATGGTGATGATGTTGTTGATACTGATGATGTTGATAATCATGATGGTGATGATAACGATGAGAATGTTGATGTTGATCTTGATGATGATAACGATGATGATGAGGATAATGATGATGATGATGATGATGATGGTGGTGATGATGGTGATGATGTTGTTGATACTGATGATGGTGATCATGATGGTGATGATGATGATGATGATGATGACGATGATGATGATAATAACGAAGATGATAATGATGATGATGGTGGTGATGATGATGATGATGCAGATGATGGTTTCCCATGGAAACCCAAACCAGGGGACTTACACAATGTGGGAGGACTTGACAACCCCGACTTTAGCAGGTGGACTCCATATCTGCATATAGTTTGCTCACTTAAAGCATTCCAACCAGAGGTTGCTAGACTATTTTAATGAGGGTAGTTCAGATCATACTTGTGAAGCTAGCCCAGCACTTTCAGCATGCAAATCATCGATTTTTCACATCTCTTTCAAAATTGCAGAAATGCCTAAAAATTAAAAAAGGGGAGAAATGAAGAACGGCAATAGCGAATTTTCAGACATTGGAAAATGCGCTATATTCTTTTTGCAACTATTAGTTAATTGGAGCTGTAAGAGAGGCAGGCGCGGATCCAGGATTTTCCAATAGGGGGGGCCGGAAATTTGAAAATTGCGCAGACCGTTTTTTCAAGATCATATTAGAAGCACCATACCGGTACAATTTTTGACATTTTCATCGGAGGGGGGGGGGGGGGGGGGGGGGGGCTATAGCTTCTTGCCCGCGGAAGCTTTGACCTTTCATTGAAAGAAGACGATTTGTTGTACCGTTCTCGACTTGTATTCCTTGCCTGAATTCACTTTTCCCCCTCCCGCGCAAAGCGCGGAAGCTTTGACCTTTTATAGTTCAATGAAATTATTAGAGAAAAAAGATGATTCGTTGTTCAATTCTCGACTCTAAATCCTTCTCTAAATTCAGTTTTTCCCCTCCCGCGCGAAGCGCAGAAGCTTTGACCTTTCATTAAATTATTAGAGAAAGAAGACGATTCGTTGTAACATTCTAGACTCTTAATCCTTGTTTGAATGCAGGTCCCCCCCCCCTCTCGCGCGAAGCGTGGAAGCTTTGACTTTTCACTAAATTATTAGAGAAAGAAGACGATTCATTGTACCATTCTCGACTCTTAATCCTTGTCTGAATTCAGTTTTCCCGTGCCCGCGCGTAGCGTGTAAGCTTTGACGGTTCATTAAATTATTAAAAGTGGAAGACGAATCGTTTTACCATTCTCGTCTCTTAATCCTTGTTTGAATTCAGTTTTCCCCCTCCCGAGCGATGCGCTGAAGCTTTGACGTTTCATTAAATTATTAGTGAAAGAAGACGATTCGTTGTAACATTCTCGACTCTTAATCCTTGTCTGAATTCAGTTCCCCCCCCCCCTCCTGCGCTTTGCGCGAAAGCTTAACGTTTCATTAAATTATTAGAGAAAGAAGATGATTCATTCTACCGTCATCAGCTCTTTATCCTTGTCTGAATTGAGTCCCCCCCCCCTCCCGCGCGAAGCGCGACATGTTTGACGTTTCATTAAATTATAAGGGAAAGGAGACGATTCTTTGTACCATTCATTTTCCCCTGCCCGCGCGTAGTGCGTAAGCTCTGATGGTTCATATTAAAGGAAGAAGACGAATTGTTTTACCATTCTCGTCTCTTAATCCTTGTTTGTATTCAGTTTTCCCCCTCCCGAGCGATGCGTGGAAGCTTTGATATTTCATTAAATTATTAGAGAAAGAAGACGATTCGTTGTACCGTTCTCGACTCTTAATCCTTGTCTGAGTTCATTTTCCCCTGTCCGCGCGTAGCGCGTAAGCTTTGACGGTTCATTAAATTATTAGAGGAAGAAGACGAATCGTTTTACCATTCTCGTCTCTTAGTCCTTGTTTGAATTCAGTTTTCCCCTCCCGAGCGATGCGCGGAAGCTTTGACATTCATTAAATTATTAGAGAAAGAAGACGATTCGTTGTACCGTTCTCGACTTGTCAGAATTTTCAAAAATGTTTCTTTGTCTGCTCCTATTTCGTCCTATGTCCTCTTACTGCCCCTACCGCCCCTGGCTACGCGCCTGCTTTAAAGGGAAAATGAAACAATCATGATTGTGATAGCAAACAATTAGGTTAGTAGAAATGAAAGGGGAAAAAGATCTTTTACACCAACCATGGATAAATCACGGACAGGAGCGTCATAGTTTTGAGTTATCGGGCGAGGGCCGGCCGGGGCGTAGCGACCAAGCGAGATTTTGCAATGTTGAACGCTGAAATTATGCATTCTAGAAAATCCCTAAGCCCAATATGTACGTTCTTTCCGCTATATTTCTTTCTAGCTATATTTCTAAATTCCCTGGAGGACGTGTCCCCCTATTAGGCCCAGGATTGCCGCACCTGTCCATGATTACTACCAACATGAGTTCAAATACAAACACAAGCGAGTTGGTATGAGCTGAATCCAAAATAATGAAGGGCAAAATAAGAGTTGTGAAGCGGCCCTACCGTTAATTTAAAATTTGACTTTTGAGTATATAATTTCTATTTAAAAGACATCCAAAATATTGTGCCCTTTTCAAAATTTTCAGTAAAGAGTGAATGACCGCAGGGGCTGTTCTTAACGTTTAACTTTGAATCCGCGGCTCGAGATTTTATGCGGCCGGCCGGCCGGCCCGCCCCCCCCCCCCCTCCCTCTATTCAATAACGTTTGCCAAGCCTTCTGAAATGACCCCAAATCTCCCGATTACAGTTTCCCACATTCGTCATTACTGTCACATAGCGCCATTTCATTGTCTTTCCCCCTTTCTCACCCGACTTTTCTTTTCCCACCCCCACCCGCTCTGTGTTATCTAGGGTACACACATGTATGTTCCCTCTCTTTGAAAGCACCCCTCTATCTCAGGTATGTAAAGTCAGTACGGGCCGGACTTTGTTGCGTGAAAAGTAACTCTTTATCGGAAATTTTGGGAACATAAATTCGGTCCTTCCGACCCCAGAGTGGGAGGGCGGGAGGGGGGGGGGGGAGGGCTTTCTTCTTTATATTTTCTCTTCTATTTCCTTTTCTCTTTTCCTTTTTTTCTCCTCTTCTCCTTTCCTTTTTTCTCTTCTTTTCTTTTTCTTTTTTTTCTTCCTTTTTTTGCGCCGCCAATAGGGGGGGCCGCGGCCGTTTCGGCCCCCCCCTGGATCCGCCACTGAGAGGGGTTGATAAATACCCACACCTCCTCATAGTGGCGACGCCCCTGATCCTCGTGACCCTTGAAAAATCGATCAACAAGGTCTGTTCACACGTTGGAAAACGTGTTTTGGTAAGCCATTTGGAAACAAAATTAAAATTTTATATAGATGGGAAACACTCTTCCGCAAATCCTTTCAATATGAAAAATACCCGGGACCACTGCTCTGCCACTGAGCCGTCGCGCCTCCTTAATTAGGATTTAATGAATCGAGTGAGTTAGCATAACAGCATTGATGACATCTCATTTGTCTCCGCTACGATTGTCGAAAGTAAAATAGCTGCTATAACTGCCTTAATGGAAGGATATTTTTATATTTGATAGAGGAGCGAATTTATTAAACACGATACCCTGTCACTCAATTAAGATCCAGTATTGCCATTCATTATCTGAGTTGTCAACATTTTCATTTCAAGTGTCATTTTCATATTTTCATACTGAAAGGGTTTGCGAAAGTGTGTTTCCAATCTTTATAAAAAGTTTCCAAATGGTTTACCAAAGACACGTTTTCCAACGCATGATCAGTCATTGTTGATCGATTTTTCAAGGGTCATGAGGATCAGGGGTGTTGCTAGTAAGAGGAGGTGTGGGTATTTATCAACCCCTCACTTACAGCTCCCATTAACTAATAGTTGCAAAATGAATATAGCGCATTTTCCAACACATACAAAGTGTAATGTCTGAATATTCGCTATTGCCGTTATTAATTTCTCCCTCTTTTTTTAATTTATAGGCATTTCTGCAATTTTGAAAGAGATGTGAAAAACGATGATTTGCATCCTGAAAATGCTGGGCTAGCTTCACAAGTATGATCTGAACTGCCCTCATTAAAATAGTCTAGCAACCTCTGGTGGGAATGCTTTAAGTGAGCAAACTATATGCAGATATGGAGTCCACCTGCTAAAGTCGGGGTGTCCAGTCATCTCACATTGTGTAAGTCCCATATTTTGGGTTTCCATGGGAAACTATCAATATCATGATTATGATCATCATCATCATTATCATCATCATTATCATTATCAAAATCAACATCAACATCATCATCATCATAATTATCACCATCAACACCATTATCATCATCATCATCAACATCATCAGTATCAACATTATCATCATCATCATCATCATGATTATCACCATCAACACCATTAAAACCATCATCATTAATATCATAATTATCATCATCATTATCAACATTATCAACATTATCATCATCATCGTCATCATCCTCATCATTATCATCATCATTATCAAAATCAACATCAACATCATCGTCATCATCACCATTAACACCATTATCATCATAGTCATCATCAACATCATTAGTATCAACATTATCATCATCATCATGATTATCACCATCAACACCATTATCACCATCATCATCATCATCATTAATATCATCATTATCATCATAATTATCACCATCAACACCATTATTATCATCATCATCAACACAAGTAGGGGGGGGGGGTGTAAGGACAGTTTATTTGGTCACCGCTTTGCAATTTATTTTCATTTTATTTTATTTTTCAAATAAAAAAATAATTTGAAGGGGGGGGGGGTTCCTACAAAACACACACATTTAAAACAATTGAGGGGGTTTTGACGCTACATTTTGACAGGTAGATTATAGCAGGACATATTATATATTTCCGGCCATTATGTTTCACCTCGATTGGAACCTACATACACTAATATAATCGCGGATAGCTCCATACAGTTAATTACAACAAGGTAGATATGATTGGTTCGAGCTAAGCACATACTCAAACTCAACTCTCCATTAACATCATCTCGTACAGCTACCGAGTGCCAGCATCAATCAGAGCAGAATCACAATCGCTCCCACGTCAACCATTGGGATCATGTCGAATTCAAGCGAAGTACATGGTTTCCTTGAGATTTTTTGGTCGGAAAACGGGGTATACTTTATTTCGCCACAACTGATTTTGGCCATCTTGTGTAATTCTTTCATCTTTGTCGTGTTACTCCGAGACAACTGTGGTTTTGAAGAGCATTCCAAACTAATTTGTCGTGCCCTCTTGTTCTCAGATACATTCGTAATCATTATTCTAACCGTCATATCAATTTTGCGAACCTTTCCGGGTGTAAAGGTGCGATCAGCCTGCGCCTATGGTACAATACTGCTGAACACAACATACATACTCTCCAACCTCTACATGTCCCTCTGGAGTTTTGATCGTCTGTTAAAGGTATGGAAACCCTTCCTCTATATACGATATGTAACCGTAAAAGCCGTCATGTTAGTTCTTCTAGCTACGATCACCTTGACGCTTATTTATTTCGCTGTACAGGTTGCAGCCTTGAATCTCGAGTATCCAATCGGTAGACTTGATTACTGTTTCGTGAGTTATGGACTGAAGCCAAACCATGCTGTATACTCTTCAATAGTGGCAATAGTTGGTGCGGATATGGTGGTAATGGCAAATATCGTTTTGCTTATCATAGCTCTGAAAAAACTGAAGGCAGAACGGAAGCTACACCCAGCGGTAATTCCAGCAGCAATTGCAACACGAAATGACCTACAGACGCCTGAAGATGAAGCGCCCTCTCCCCCGCAAGCCCCTGCAAATGACCAGATGATGCATCGCCTCCTCAAATGCATCAGGACGGTACTTGTTGTTATCGAGAGTAGTGCCGTGGTGGCAATCCCCCGCTATATCATTATCATGACGAGCATTAAGAGAACATTTTGGCCGAACGTTGCAGTGGATTTGACCATAGCGTTCAGTACCTGGTGGAAGGGAATCATCTTCGTCTTGACCAATAGGCAGTTCCGCGATGCAGCTCGGAGCGAACTTGACAGGATCAAAAACTATTTGCAACATTGAACATGAGAATGAGTGTATCATCAGAAATTTGTTGAAGACCCTTGGGTTTTCTTTCCTTTTCTCACTGCTGCGACTCTTTGCCATAAACTCTATTTTTGTGCAAAGCGTGGGCCTTTGCTAATATAAAACCATCTACTGTAATTCACTGATATAATCTTTTCTTCATTTGAAAATCTCACGAATCATCATTGCAAGGTGTCAAACACAGGTTTTTCATCCACAAGGAAAGATTCAGTGATTCTGAATAAGATATTGTTTTGGTGTGAAAGATATTTTAATGGATCATGAAATGCTTTATTTTTCTCTAACTAATTAGTAAATCACAAATTTGCCCAAAATGAGCAATTTCAAGTTTTTCAAAGTATTTTTTAAGACGAATCATGATTGGACCATTTTCTACTGTATTGAAGTAAAATTACATATTTTATGTTCCCAAAGGTGCTGGAATTAATTATTTAGGAAGGAGAAAAAGAGAATGAGCTTGAAATATATTAGTACATGGTTTAGGTCTCTGGGCACTCGTAATGGCAGACACGCTGGCCTCGTTTAAAGGTAAAGACCAGTTATGGTCAAGCGATTGCATTGTGAAAGAAACGTTGAGGAATCGATCAGAAAAGGTTGATCATCTAGCATCTAGCATCTGGAAGGTTCTGGAATCATCAAAATGATAAGAAATTTGGCCCATTCTTCGTAAAGTTACAAGCACTATACACAGAAAGATGTATATGGGACTACCCTATATCTCTCACAAACCATGAGAGAAACAAATTTACCAAATATATGAATTAGTAGGCGGTTTCCCGGCAAATTTTTTATCATCATGTATTAGTAAAAACATATTCTTTCACATGATTGGTAATGAGAGCTTCCATTTCATTTTTAGAAATTGGGGCGTTTCCAATACTGGTCTTTACCTTTAACACCTGGACCAAAAGAATCATCTTTACACTCACCAACAGACAATACCGCAAGGCGGCTAAAGCAGAAATGAATAGAATCAAGAAATGGTTTAAATGTAACTGAACAACAATTGTACATGTAATAAAGCAAAATAATATCTTTGCAAATGCTGGATTCCAATATATCTTCAGTGTTTGTAGTTTGGATCGTCATATTTCAGGTTACCCGACAAGGGTGCAACAGAAGTCATGAACTAAGTTCCGTATATTCCATCATTCTTAGAATAAGCGGTACTATATTATCCAGAAATTATGATACACACGTGTCAAAACCTTTAAGTTTATAATGAGTTTATTTCGTATGGATCCCAAAACATTGTCACCATTGTGACAACAAATACTTCTGAGGCAAAAGGACAATATTATGTAAAAACAACAATTGTGGAGATTTCGTTTTCAAAATCCTTTCTGATGATTCAGAAACCATATTTCAAAATATTGTAGAAAAGGTAAATTGGCTCAATGTATCTTATATGTAATCACGCACGAGTAAAAGAATTAAGATTATCTAGTTCCAACATATCTTTTCATATTAGTAATCTTTTGCAGGTGCTACAAATTTGTTTTGAAAGTTCTAGTTTTAGCTGAAATTTGTGAGTCGAAACTACATTCTTATTTCAAGTTTCAAGTTTATTTATTTTCCATTTTATCGAAGATAACACAATTGAACATAATAAACGTGGTAATAATTATAACTAAACATACAATATAGAAACATAATGTACATGGTAATAGTTATAACAAAGGATACAATCATAAGTACGATAAATACATTGAAAAAAGCTAAATAAAGTGGGAGGGGGGGGGGGGGTCTACTAAAAAGCAAAGCTTGTATTATGTGGATCCCAGTTAATAGGTTTGTATATAAATTAGGGTATCTGAATAAACATAAGATATTTACTAAAGGATACGATTACCGGTACCACGAGGGTTATCTTTAAGTGACAAATTTTGCTAAACATATCGTAACTGGTCGAGAAAAAAGAGGGAAGAGTTCTGTGCTTTCCTCAGCATAACCAAATATTGCTAATATATAAATTAATAAAGGATCAGTGCTTATCAGTGCTGGACGTCACATTGCCTTAAAAGGATGTCACACAAATTAGGCGCATTTGTAGGCACTTCCTTGAGTAATATGACGTAAAACTGCTTTCTCCTACCCCCTCTAAGAGAAGGGATCTTTTGCAATTTGAGAGCCACATTTGGCGCATTAATGTCCAGAGGCACTTCCTGGAAAAAAAAACGAGGCCTTCTGATTAGTTAGAAGTTAGAGAAAAGTGATCTGTCACGTCTCGAGACGTTGCATATGCTTCGTTGCTGCACAATGTACACAGACGGTGGTCCGGTACTTCACCAGTAGTACTTGCAAAAATTATTTCGAGTGTATAAACTGTGTTGTTATCAGAGGCGTCGATCGCTATACCCTTTTCAGTAGGGGTGGGGGTGGAGGCCACCGATTACCGACAAAACTAGCCACCAATTACCGACAAGTATATTAATTCCAATGTCCCAATGTCTACAAATTTAACACTATTAACCCGGGGCCAGGAACTAAGTTATTTTTCAGTTTTCCGTCTCCCGCGCGTAGCGCGGAAGCTTTGACACTTCATTAAATTATTAGAGGAAGAAGACGATTCGTTGTACCGTTACCGACTCTTAATTCTTGTTTCGCCCCTCCTGTGCGAAGCGCAGAAGTAATGACGTTTCATTAAAATTGAGAAAGAAGACGATTCTTTGTACTGTTTTCGGCTCTTTATCCTTGTCTGAATTTGGTCTCTCCCCTAGCGCGGAAGCTTTCAAGATTCATAAACAATTTCGTTGTACCGTTCTCGACTCTTTATCCTGAATTCTGAATTCAGTTTTCCCCCTCCCGCGCGAAGCGCGGAAGCTTTCACGTTTCATTAAATCATTAGAGAAAGAAGATGCTTCGTGGTATCGTTCTCGACTCTTATTCCTAGTCTGAATTCAGTCTCCCCCCTGAGCCCCCTTCCGCGCAAAGCGCGGAAGCTTTCACGTTTCATAAATAATTTCGTTGTAGTACCGTTCTCTACTCTTAATCCTTGTCTGAATTCATTTCGCCTATCCCGCGCGAAGCTTTTACGTTTCATTAAATTATTAGAGAAAGAAGACGATCGTTGTATCGTTCTCGAATCTTAATCCTAGTCTGAATTCAGCTCCCCCCCCCCCTTCCCGCGCGAAGCGCGGAAGCTTCGACATTTCGTTAAATTATTAGAGAAAGAACACGATTCTTTGTACTGTTTTTTACTCTTAATTCTTGTCTGAATTTTCAGTTTCGCCCCGCACAAAGCGCGGAAGCTTTGACGTTTCATTAAATTATTAGAGAAAGAAGACGATTCGTTATACTGTTTTCGTTTCTTAATCCTTGTCTGAATTCATTTTAGCCCATCCCGCGCAAAGCGCGGAAGCTTTCACGTTTCATATTATTATTAGAGAAAGAAGAGGATTCGTTGTATCGTGTCCTTGTCTGAATTCAGTTTCCAGCAATCCAGCACCCCCGCTTCCCAGGGCCATGCCGCTTACCAGTCAATAGTCTTTTGAAAAGTGCCCTAGGGCGCTATTAAAAAGACTATTGACTGGTAGGCGGGGCATGGCTAAAATCACGACTCCAATTTCGATCAATCAGATGGCTAGATTTCTAAAGTGAGGTATATAAAGTTGTTTGATTGGTCAGTTTGGTGTCGATCTTATTGATGTGACTGGGATGTGATATTAAATAATGATCGAGCGTCAACATTTTTATGTCAAACCATTGCAGAAACTGTTTTTAAAACCCCAGTTGATTTCGTGGACTTGTTGTCTTTTGTCCATCGACAAAATACCTTCCTCAAACCTTTCTGAAATCTTCGATATTGAAATGAATATATAAAGGGATTGACCCACATATTCCCGAAAGCAATCAACACAGACAGGCTGGTCATCAAGCCGTTGAAATCCAGAGGATACCCGAAACAATATGCCAAATATAAAATCTGGTTCGGTACCCAACAAATAAGAAATAAAACCGAAACTGTCACCATTACTTTTAGTACATTTCTTCGGGCACGGCTTCGGTGGTCGAAGCGTCGAGTTTTACGGTTTTGCGAAACGGATTTTTCCGATTCTCGGTTCTTTCTGGCCCTCTTGTTGAATTTTTCCTCCACCGTTGACTTCAGCTTGATGGATATGGAGGTGTACACGAATACCATGACTGCGAGCGGCAAGACAAACTGCAGGAACGCGGCGCCGAAAGCGAAACCAGCTCTTGTCGCATCGTTCGGGAACTGGAGCCCCAGGCACTGATCTTGTTCCACCCTCGTAAACCACACGAGGTCTTGGTGATAGGCGAATCCAGACAACCAGGGTAGAGCGACAAGGCAGATGAATCTTGCTGAGTTGGTCCGACTGTGGTAATGAAGAGGGAATACGATGGCGTAGTAACGCTCTAATGTCATTAAGGTTAGATTGAGCGAACTAGCAACGATCAGGGACCAGAATGAATACCCGGAGTACCAAAATGCACACACGAACCGGGAAAGTGTTGGGTTGTTGGTTGGTAGAGGCGGTAGAGGTGCGACGAAGCTGGCTAAGAGAAGGAGAGACGTCAATAGATCAATCAAAGATTGATTGCCGATCAAGACATTGGCGACATCGTGGAGATCACGAACGACCACGATGACGAGGAGAACGAGTGCATTGCCGAAAACGCCCAATAAACCCATCGAAATGTAGATTGGATATGTAATAGTGGTCATCGATTGACTTCCATATTCAACCTGCCCTCCACTAGTAAAATTCGAAAAGTTGGTTTCCATTTTGTGCAAAAATGATACAGCAATATTATGGAATGAAAGTACAAGTATCTAAAAAATTTAATGCGATTCTTAGATACGAACCGATATCCTTTTAAGCTAGATGATCAACTAATCAATGTCTTTCTATATGGTGCTTGCAAAGCCAAATGAACCTTTTTACATATTAAGGTAGAGAATTAAAACAATATTTGAGGAAACGCCCATCGCTTTGATATTATCTTTAATAAAGAAATGATCTCCTCCCGTCGGTTTCGCGGACAAAAGGTTGGCTTCTAGCTTATAAAGATATTTCAGAACCAATTAGAGCGGGGTACTGCCAGGCACTTAGATATTATCTTCAATAAAGAAATGGTCTCCTCCCGTTGGTTTCACTGACAAGAGGTTGGCTTTTAGCTGCTTATATAGATATTTCAGAACCAATTAGAGCGGGGCAATAGCAGAAGCACAATTCAAAGAGTTGAAAGACATTATAAGACATCGGTAACATCATATCATCTGTCGAAATGAATACATGCTTTTTAAACACCAGTTCCTGCATGAACGGCTATGAGAAATTATAGAAAGTGAGATATGAGACCTGGGGTAATTTGCGTATGTCTTTTCTGATCAATCGTACGATGCCTTTCCTGTGTAATAGTGGATCCCACCCCCCCCCCCCCCCTGAGAAAAAACGTGTAAAAACATGTTAATTTTACCTTTTTGGGGAGATGCCCCCCCCCCCCCCCCTGGCGCTCAAGGGGGGGGGGGTGCAAATTTTCAAATTTTCGAGGGCCTCCCGAAAGAAATGTGCTCATTACCCCCCCCCCCCCCCCCCCCCCCCCCCCCCCACCCCACTGAGCGCATTTCGGGAGCAAAAAGAAGAAAAAAATTGGGCCCCACGCCTGCTCAATAGAGTGTCACTGTGATTTTTAAAAAATGTGTTCCCTCGATCGTTCTTTGAATTGTTAAAGCCAACCTTTCTTTTTCTCAAGGATTGCTTTCTTAAAGTGACCCAGTAACATTGCCTCAGATTCTGAAACAAAATTCTGGATTTAGCTCATGCTGCAATGATAATTATAAACCTTTAGGTCAATCAAGAATCCCATGAACTTTACAAGCCGATCGCCCGTCTGATTATCAAGATATTTATGATTGGAAACCGAAATCAAATTGTGCGTTTTCCTAATGGTTTTTATAACACTAGTCTACTGTGGAAAATGAGTATGGTAAAACCGGTCACTCAAAGATTTTTACTTTGGCACTTCATGATCATTTTGAAGCGCAATTTTTTTACGGCTTCAATATTTATTTTACACCATTTCACAGACAATGGTAACACGTAGATCCATGCATCACAGATTTAATATTGTAAAACGATGCCTTTAAAGGACACTATTATAATGGATTATAAGACAATAAAAGTTGACTGCTAAACCATGCCGGTATTTTCGAGTATAACGGTTTAATTTCAAAATTGGCTTTTGAATATATTAGCTAGTGAATTACTTCAGACATTAAATTTGGTGGAGTCCGCATTTTTTTTAAAGAATATCTTTTTCCCATATCATAAAAATCGCTTTTGAATGTCGAGGAAGAAGAAAAAAAATCTATTTTTATAAAGATATCTGATATGAATTTTGTATATGCGGTACAGAAATTTGACTTAATCTTTCCTATCAATGCACTCCGGATACATTAGCAAAACTATTCATGTATTCACAATACATACCTCATTCATATATTTGATGCTTTTGTATCCCTCTTTTCGTGCATCTCCTTTTCTACCCCTTGAAATTTAAGGCAGATATCTAAAACCTGAAAGACATGTCCAATCTAAAGAAGATTACAAACTGTTCTTCGGTTGCGAACTGCAGAGTTAAGTCCTTGAAAATTACAGGTCCTTTCAGTCTTGTTTTTCATCTCAAAATATGGAATACATCGTTTTTAGAATTAAAATTTACTTCAGAATATAAAGATATCTGATATGAATTTTGTATATGCGGTACAGATATTTGACTTAATCTTTCCTATCAATGCACTCCGGATACATTAGCAAAACTATTCATGTATTCACAATACATACCTCATTCATATATTTGATGCTTTTGTATCCCTCTTTTCGTGCATCTCCTTTTCTACCCCTTGAAATTTAAGGCAGATATCTAAAACCTGACAGGCATGTCCAATCTAAAGAAGATTACAAACTGTACTTCGGTTGCGAACTGCAGAGTTAAGTCCTTGAAAATTTACAGGTCCTAGTACGTGAACACCATTTACCTATTGGAGCCGTATGTGTACACAACTATAATATAAGTATATCACTCGAAACACAATATCAGTAAGGTTATCTGTCCATAAAGCCGACGCTGAAAAGGTATGATTATAGAAAATAACAACTGAACATATACCTGCCTCAAGAGTGCAATATAACACGGTGGCTCATAAGAAACTAAAACTTCCATGACATAATTTGAAGTTACAAAAAAGAATAGTTGGGATAATTACGAAAATCTGATCTTTCCACACCTCTCTCTGGATAATCTCCATAATAATACAAAAGGTTTTTTTTATGTTTCTGTATACTGAAAAACTCTTGCCGAAAATTTTTCATGATTATATACAAGAGGTAATTTGATTATTGATTATGGTTGTACCTCCTATTCTTATACAAAAAAAAATACATATTTGCGAGTGCATTAGTGAATATGCACTGAACGCAGGTTAAGTAACGGTAGGATAATGAACGAGATAATGACTTAACCGAGTGCAGTGCATATCACTAATGCACGAACTAAAACATGGATTATTTGTTTTATAAGATGCGTCTACAATATGAGTATAAAGTCGAGAAATTGACGGTTGTCATCACCAAAATGCACTCCCCGTGCATATGGTAAACATTAATGCACGCACAGTAGATCCATTTCGACGCTTCTCATTGGCTACATTCTTGAACCCATTTTTATAAAGATCAATAACATGCAAGGAACCTCTTTTACAGAAAAATATACAACACATCAAAAACCATTCTCCATGCTACTTTGTTTTACTATTGTATTTTTGTCCTTTCTTATGTTTGTTTTGTTTTCATGATAATGCGACCACGTTTACAAGTTATAGCAAACTTTATATGACCCCACCACGTTTACATTAATCTTTCGTCTTTTAATATTTGCTTGTACTGTGTAATTGTTTTTACAAATATTTTTTCATGCTTTATACATGTTTTTAAAATTGAGATGTAAAAATAAATTCAATTCACTTTACTTCATTGTAGACCGTAGGTTGACCGAGTGAAATTAGACTTTGTAATAAATGGGAAGGATGCTTATGTGTTATAACAATTTGAACTCCCAGGAATAAATTGTCTAAACCCTTCTTAGAATTATTATGTATAGAATGCAACAATAGATGTGAAATATAATGAAATTCTGACTAGTGAAAAATACAATGTAAATAGTGAACCTACATTAAAAGAAGAAACAAAATAATAAAGTTTGTTACTTATTCAGTAACATCATAACGTGAATAAAACAAAGGTAAACAATGTTTAAGCACTTTTGTTTTGGATACAATATATTTCATTGCAAAAATAAGAATGCGGTGACATATAGACTCACATCATTGGAATACATAGACTTGGCATGGTAACATATACATCAGCATTGCTAATCATCTTAAGCAGACACAACACACAATTCTATCTAATCATTTGGCTTGTACACTTCAGCATAGGAAGAAAACAGTATATATGCACAGATAAAAAAACAAAAGCTTCTCAAACCTTCATTCTAAAAATCAGAACATCTATTCTTTTAGATTATGGTTTGACCTATTCCTCCACAGTAACTGTCTTTGCCGATTTTTGTTTTTAACAGACGAGAGTAAGCTACAAGAAATATTAAAAGGATATTGCCTATCTTAAAAGAAGAATGCAGGAAAGCCAATGATGTTGCTATTATTTTCTGTTACGATTTAGACATATAAACACTCTTCATTTCCACCACCTCACAGGCAAGTAAATGATTTTTTTAAAGTAAATAAATCATTTAATACTCAAACTTGTGTTTGCCAGGCAATTTACAGTTTAAACCAAACTACTAAATCTCTTTATTTCTCTTTTGAATTTTCAAAAGTATCTTTCACACTGGTTCAATGAGTTATGAATATCTATCATCTTGTAAATCATAACTGAATACCTACAAAGGCCTTGTCAAAAATCTTTCTTTTAAACAGTAACCAACATCTCAAATGTCATACTTGTCTTATCCACCATTAGGAACTTGTACCTTGAACAATTCACAAAACTGATTAAAAAACTATTAATTACAATGTAATAAAGAAGCAATGAAGAAATTATCTTAACTTGCATACTGAATGTAACTTAATATTTGCATATCAAATAATTGTAATGCTGAACTGCATTTTAGAGTTCTTAATTCTTTTTATCATACTCATCAAAGACACCACATTTTATTGCAAATGTACCATAATTGCACGCTTTCATAACTCTTTGCATACTTAGGTTGAACATGAAACAATGGTGAAAAATAAATTACATTACTTAAAACAAATATCTTGCACTTAAGGGGAAGGACACAATATTATTTTTGAAAATTCAGACAAGGAGTAAGAGTCAAAAACGGTACAACGAATCGTCTTCTTTCCCTAATAATTTAATGAAACGTCAAAGCTTCAGGGCAGAAACTCCTACCTTCCTAAATAAAATCCTAGCTACGCGCTTGCAGTACAATACACAATGTACATTCACATACTGAAGGTTATTGGATCACTACTTAAAAAGGCACTCAAACATGGTCCTCATACATCACGTTGAAGTGAAGGATAATACTGCTGAAGAAATACAATGCCAGTGTCGCTGTCCGTTAAATGCCAACAGGAATTAAATCATTTCTAATCGAAATAAT